ATTAGCACTAGATCAAAAGGTTTCGGACTTAATTGGTACAATTAAATGGTTCAGGACTAAATTGACACAAATACAATAGATTTAAGACTTTGTTAACACTTTTCCCCTTGTTTGTCTACCTTAGCAATCATAAAGCAACAAATTTTACAAACCTTCTTGTTTTCTTTCAAAGAAAGTGATTTTGGCAATTAACACTCAATTTTCCATAAATTGAAAAATAAATAATCCGAGTGTTGTTTCGAGAGCTCCTTAAATAACTTTTTTTGAACGCGGCAAGATAAAATCCATCTTCGGGTAGTAAATAACTACGAAAAATGACTAATTCTGGTACACAATAAAATGAGTGTTCTTGATAAATATTCTCCATCTGATAGCTCATGAAGATCTAGTTTTACGCATTGGCAAATCGGTACGAATGAATGAAATACTAGCAGAGTTTTCCCAAAATAAAATAATAAAAGTTCATCCATCAGCTGTCTTATCTCTTTCCCTAACTCTTCTTCTGTTCCCTTTAACACGCAAGGTCTAAACCTAAGCCATTAACAACATGGGTTAATTAATTACCTAATCACTGTCTGCTTAGTACAGAAAACGATGGTGATAACAAAGACAATCATTGCGGGAGTTGAAACTATTTGGACTATTCCAGTTGATTATCTCCAAATCTACCATTGATGTTGACTGATAAGTGTGATGAATCTTCGAAAGATTCAAGAAGAAGCGATAAGGAAATGAGGATTCCCCCGATAAAATTGTACTTTCTGCTGTCTGTGTATTGATAAATATTTTTAAGGGAGTTGGTAAGTTTTACTTTGGTAAAAAAAAGCAAGCAGTCAATAATTTTCCGATAATTTTGTGAAATTGCCAACACTTTTTTTAATGCATTACAAACCATTTACCAACTTTCATTGGCGTTTCTTACTAATGCATTAAATTATCAGCTCTTACATAAGTTTACCAATCTTTATTTGAGTGATATGCGAATTTTTTTCAATTAAATTACCAATTAATTTTGGTTAATAACTCTTACTTCAAATACATGTCAACGTTTATTTGATTTTTTTAAAAATTTATCAACTTTTATTATCGTTTATCAATATTTATTTGTCATTAACGGTTATTTGGTTCTTTCTTTAAGGTTATCAATTGCTCTTACCTTTGACAAAAATACTTCTCTTATTGTTCATTGACTTTTATTTATCAATCTTACCAATGGCTTAAATTAATTGATATGAAATTAGAAACCTTTATTAATTTATGTAACTTATCAACTTTTCACATATTAAGTTATCAACAAGTTGTGGGTTACTACCTTTAATTTGAGTTGCTTACCATCATTCTTATACTTTTGCTTAAATTTACCGAAGCTATAAAATGACTTTTCTTAGCGGTCTCATCTTCTTCTTCTTCTTCATTAAGGTCGCCGGCGCCGCTGCCGGTCGCCGGCCGCCGCACTGCGGTCGCCGATCGCGGTCGCGGCCGTCGGTCGCGATCGCAGCCGCGGCGTCGCCGCGCCGCCGGCGAAAAATATTTTCCGAAACTTTTTCATATTGGTCGCCGAACACCGGAAAATTATGTTCGGAAAACATTTTCAGGAAAATGACTTAGGAAAATATTTTCCAAAATGAAAATATTTTCCGCCAAACAAACGGAGCCTAAGTTATCAACAAGTTGTGGGTTACTACCTTTAATTTGAGTTGCTTACCATCATTCTTATACTTTTACTTAAATTTACCAACTTTTATATTGAGTTATCACTTTTACTTGTCAAATGGGAAAATTAACAAAACAGTCCTAAATCTATTGCAATTATGCCAATTCGATCCTAAATTTTTTTTTTGTCAATTCAGTCCTAAATCTTTTATATTTGTACCAATTCAATCAATCCGACCAATTTTGGCCAGTTAGCGCTGACGTGGACGCCGTCTGGCCGACGCTGAAGAGGCAATTTTTATTTTTTTTTTAAAAGATTCGAATTTTTTTACCTTTTTTATTTTTTATTTTTTGCTTTCCTTCTTCCCCTGGCAGGTTGTCGAACCGGCTAGGCCATTGTCGACACTGGTGAGGGCGATGACCTCAATGTTGCTGGGCAAGGGTGAGCCTCACCATTGGCCAGTCACTGGCCAGGGGAAGAAGGAAAGTAAAAAAAAAAAATTCGAAAAAATTTAAAAAAAAAATAAAATGGCCACGTCAGCATCGGCTGGCATCCACGTCAACGTTAACCAGCCAAAATTGACCGGATGGACTGAATTGGCACAAATGCAAAAGGTTTAGGACGGAATTGGTACAATTACAATAAATTTAAGACTGTTATGGTAATTTTCCCTCTAGAAATCAATCTTATCTATTTTTTTTATTAAGTTACTAACTAATTTTGCGTTACCAACTTTTATATGAGTTAACATATCCTTTATACTTACAAACTTCTCTTATCTTTAATAAAAAAAAGTTCTCTTATCTTTTACCAACCTTTATTAACCTTTTTTCTAATTAATTTTACGTTACCAACTCTTATTTGAGTTGGTTTATTTTGTTTTACTTACAAATTTCTCTTATCTTCGACAAAAAAATTCTCTTATCTTTTACGAACTTTTATTGAACTTTTATTGACTTTTTTTTTTTATCAACACCTTAAGTTTTCAACTTTTTTGAGAAATTACTGATCTTTTTGGTGTAGCTCACAAATTTTTCTCCGATTAACTTACCGACTAGTTTAGGTTACCAACTCTCATTTGAGTTACTCACAAACATTTATTCTTTTTCTATATTTTCCAACTTTTCCATATAGTTACCACTTCTATTTGCTACCGAACTTTTTACGATTAAATTACCAACTATTTTTGCGTTACCAACTCCTATAAGAGCTAATTACCAAGTTCATATATTTTTCAGAATTGCCAATTTCTCTTATCTCTAACAAGACAAAACATTCTCTTATCTAATTAACCAATATTTATTTATCTTTCTTACAAACATTTTACCAACTGTTATATGGCATTATTAGCCTTTATTTGAGTTACTTACCAACTTTTTCGCCGATTAACTAGCCGAATAGAAAATTCAGTAAACATAAAAAGAAAACATCTGTAACTAACTCAATTCAAAGTTGATAATCCAGAACTGTTGATAACTTAATCTGAGAAAGTTGATGAATCACTTAAGTTTGGTAAATGTAAGGTGTTCTTAAAAAAGGTAAATAAAAAGTGGTACTTGATAAGAACAATTGGTAATAAAGAAAAAATTGCGAAGTAACTCAAATGAGTTGGTAATCCCAAACTAGTTAGTATCTTAATTGGAGAAAAGTTGGTAAGTAACTTAAGTTTTTTTTTTTGTTAAGGTAAGTAAGTAAGTCACTTAAGTTAAGGCAAGTTATTTCTAAAAAAGTCGGAAATTTCAAGGCATTGCTAAGAAATGCACACAAAAGTTTGAAAATAATAAGTAAAGTTGGAAAATAAAAAATAAAAAATCAAATAAGCATTGGTAAGAAACTTAATTAGAGTCGGTCACCCAATACTAGATGAAAAATTTAATGCGAGGAAAGTTGATGAGTCGTGCTAATAGGTTAATTATTACTAAGTAGCTCAAATGAGAGTTGGTAACCCAAAAAATAGTATGTATAAATATGACAAAAGTTAGTAACTCATTTTAATTTAGGTTGGTAATTTCATATAATAGCTAATAAATTCGAAATATTAATATAAGTAATGTAAGTAAAAGTCGGTTGGTTAGTGAAAAAATTGCTACTTTGCAAAATATAAACTGTCCATAACTTCATAAAACCGTTGGTAAGTTACCAATGATTTACCTGAAAAAAAAAAGGTGCCGGTTGTTTTTTCTATGCATAGTTTTTTCGATATTTATTAACATTTATTGAATTTTACCATCAAAGAAAAAGCCATATTTTTAGAAACGGAAAAATAAAGTTCTGCCAACGTCCTAAAATCACATTTTTCCACTGACGATGGAAAATGAACTACGAAAATACAGTTCATTTTTATAGGAGAATGGCTGCATTGCTTTAATGCTTCCATACTCATTAAGACATATTTCAGGAAAGTTTCCATATATATCTACAGAATGATAGATTTTTAGTCATGAAACCATTCAAAATTTCTAAATGAAAGCATATGAGCAGCGCTAGGGATGCTTAAAATTTATTCAAAAACTCGTGTCTTAGTGATTACTCCGCAAGATTAAATTGAATATTTAAGTGGCCGAATCATATAAGTTATTGGCTTGCAATATATTCTTACTAAATCAATTTAATTATAAACAGATGCTAACAAAAAAAATTTAGTATCATTTGCAATTCTCAAAGCACATCTATTACAGCAATGATAGACTTTTTTCCAGTGATGTAATGATGCTCTTTCTTGTAACCGCAAGAACCTTAGTAATGTTAAATCTCACTTTCTTTTTTCTACAGGAGCCCAACTTACCAAAATTATCAGTTTTAGAAAAGTTATATATACAAGGCCCAGCTACATCTTATGCTTTATATAGTGGGTAGTAATTTAGTTCATAATACTCGATCTGGCAAGATTTAATTTAAAATCAAATTAGAGCGCTTGTGAAATACACAACAATATAGAAGACTTATAGCATGATTATATTTAACTGTGTAGACTAAAGTTGGAAACATGACAAAAAAAAGAGAGAGAGACTAAAGTTGGAAACATTTTTTCTGAGGAGATACACATGGCCAACTCCTTTTCTCCCACAAAAAACTGGAAACCGATAACCAGCAGTGTTCTGATGTTCCTTATATTTATTTCTCTTTTTGGCTCTCTCGTTTCTGATCTGTTCTGATGTTGCAACTATGGTATATATATGATATATCATGGCTTTGTTTTGAGCATAAAAACTTCTAAGTCCTCTCTCTCTCTCTCCTTCCTGTACATGAGTTGAAAAACTGATAACTTCATCATTCAAAGAGAAAGCTCAGAGGTTGTTTTGAGTTGTGCCAACTCCCTCTTCTTATGTTTATCATTCATGACCCTTCACTTCTCACCATTGTTGTCATATGGAGGTTCACTGAAAGTTGGAGGAACCAATACCGAAGAAGAAACCTTAAATCTCTTACTTCTTGAAAGCTCTCCGCCGCTTATCAATCCCGGGTCACTGTAATTATTCCATTCTGGGCCATCGATCCAGCCCGAGAACGCTTGGTCGCCCACCACGCCGATCGCTTCCCCAACTTCGGAACCATCCGAGTCGAGTCCTGGGGTCCGGAACCCGACCCATTCGCTGCTGCAGTCTGAGACGCTTGAGCTGTCCCACGACGAGAGGCTCTCAGGGTCGACCACAACGTGCGATGACGGCACCACGATGCTTGGCTGTACCACCTTCTCTATGTTCTTGATGTCGCTAGGGTTTTGGTATTGATTGTATCCCCTGAAGTGGAATATGCTGGCGAAAGTGAAGTGGTCACTGACCCGGCTTTTCGACGACTTGCTCTCCGAGCTCCTTGCAATGATGCTTTGTAGGTTCTTGCTCAGCTTGGCCTTGAGCGACGAGAAGCTCAGGCCATGCCTAGCGTAGTCACTCTGTGAAGTGTACCCACAAGAAGGTGATAATAACGGGTCCGGTTGGTGGCAATTATTAGGATTCGTTGAGGATGGGGCTGCCGCGAAGTTGGTGCGAGCGTTCTCGCCGCGCAGCGCCCTTGCGGCCTCATCGTAGGCCCGCGCGGCTTCCTCGGGCGTGTCATAAGTCCCGAGCCACAGGCGGACACGCTGCGACGAGTCCTTGATCTCGGCCACCCATCTCCCGGAAGGCCTCTGCCTGACACCAACAAACCGCCTGAATGATGGTTTCGAAGGTGGGGCCACCGCGACAACCGCGGTGGCAGTGGCAGTGGAGGCGGAGACTTTGTTGTTGTTGTCGTTGTCATGGTGGTGCTGGTTGTTCTTCGTGGTGGTTTCGGACCCTGCCATGGTGAGAGCAGTCAGGGTTTTCTTTTGTGGGCCTTTAGACAGATGGCCGCTATAGCTTTAGTAAGGGAAGTGATCAGTTTAAGTGGGTCTGTGTACGAGAGTGTATATATATAGAGGTGCGGTAAGCTACAAGAAGTGATGAATAGTGTTGTAAAGCATATACGCGTCTCCATTATTAGTTTGTTGTTTTGCTATATAATATGGTCGCATAGACATAGAGTGCGGGACGTAAGCAGCTCGGCTAGGAATGGAGCTACAATACATAAGGGATCATTTCTCGGCTTGTGGAGGAAAACGCCAAGCTATATGAGTCTATCTGTTGTTATGCTTATAGTAATATGTGCTCACAATATAATACAGCAGAATGTAGTCTGTGGATTGTAAGACTTAGAGCTCACCATATAATAAAAACGAATTAATAGCTTTTGACTATGTTGAGGACTCCTATTGATTTTGAAGTTGACAAAACCTTCCATGTTATTGTAAATCTGATACTTATTCTGAACTATTTTATTCCAGGTATGTATATATATTCTGAAAACTCAGAAGGAAGTTTTTCAGACTTTACAAGATGGCAAAATAAGAAGTTCATATCTTATTGAAGACCCACATAATCTTAGTTCTAAGATGCAGACGCAGACGCAGAAGTTATGCAGACGCAGACGCAGAAGTTATTCAGATGTAGACGCAGACGCAGAACTCAGAACGAAAAATAACAGCTAGTGATCTGGTATGGATTTCACAAAAGGAAAGTTTTGATTGTCTCAATCTCAGTCTAATTGATTGACAATCAAACATTACGACAAGTATGCATTATAACGGATAAAGCTCTACTTATGGAAATCAAGATTCTGATTGTATGAGCGACCAGAATCAGTGGGATTCAGAATCTGTCATCCAACAGCTACTCAATCCTTTTTATAAAAATCTGTCCAAGGTAAAGATTGGAAGATGATCCTCTGAAAGCTGTCCAACGGCTAGTTTGGAAGTTGAGGAGTATTTAAGGAGATCAACGAGCAGCGGAAGGAAGTACAGAATCAAGAATCAACAAGTCCAAGGTCTGAGCATACTCCGATCCTTTCTCTTGTCTTTCTTGAGCCAAAACATTAAGATCTTGAGGGACACTTTGTAAAAGTGATTGTGTGAGATAGAAAGTTCTATCACACACAAGAGTGCTGTCATTCAGAATCTGTAATTCCTCTTGATTACATAGTGAAATCCAGCCGGTAGGCTGTCAATGTGGGAGAGTGGACGTAGGCTTACTATAAGCCGAACCGCTATAAATCTGTGTGCAGTTTTTCTATCCCTTATCTCTTACTTTACATACTGCACATCAAGAGCACTGTCTATATAATCTGTTTTGAATCTGAATTTTATTCAGACTCAACTGTGATATTTCATTTCCGCATAAATTGATAATAATTGTTTAAGATCACCTATTCACCCCCCTCTAGGTGATCCTTGCTAGCTACATCATACTAGCTAGCTGCAAACGTGGCTTAAGATTAATGGCATCTGATGAAATATATATGTACGGTTGGGGCTGGTTGAGATCTTGGAATGATGAATCTGTCAGTAAACATATAATTGAGCGCATGTGTAGCCTTGCAAACCATTGGTTGCATATAACTTCTTCCCACGAGATTCATGAGAGTCTTTAAGTTATCGAGTCTGTTTTCACACTTCGTGCATACAATCAGCAAAGAGCTAGCTAATTAGTCCACCAACCACATCCTCTATGAGCACCCACAACTCGTATATAAATAACATGTATATAAGATTTTTTAAACACAATCAAAATTTGTTGAAAACAACAACATGATTCGTTGAGATTTGTTACAAGATAACTTCTGAATGGCACAAAGAAGTCATTGATGGAGAGAGTATGGCTTTATATATTTCAAGTTGGGGCGACACAGGTTCCGTCATTGACGGATATCGATAAGACATTTGGTAGCATTGCTTTAAATTCTGTTGATTCGGTAGTTCGTGATGATTTGAGATTCTTTATGACCGAACGTGCATCTTTTTACCTGAACTGAACTCCATCATATGAAAAAGTACTTATCAAGAAACTTGGATTGATCCGTTATAAATTTAATTACCCCTCCAATAAATAGAAGTATGTTGAATGATGGAAAGTCTTAAAATCATATAAGGACATACATCATCTTTGTGCCTCTCGTGTTGAAGTGAAGTAGAGAGAATTCAAAATACTGTTTCAAAATTCAAAATGGTGTTTCTATTCATCAATTTTTCTGCCCTTGTGTGTGTAAGTTTATGATGATATAAGCCAAACCTTATTTAATTAGTAGGTAGCTAGATACCAAAATAATCAGGCTAGGACCACAAAAACCAGCTGAGTCTACAAAGCATAACCCCAATAATTAATCAACATTAATCTCGTCCATATGAATTCTCAAGTTGTTTTTTACCAATTAGTGATCATATTCAAGAAAAGTTAAAAGCACAATTGAGCGTGGAAAGGTACCATATCTCCAAGAACTCTTGGTTCAGATAATCATCCTCGTCATACGATATTAATTCACATCCATCCAAACATCGCTAGTTGCCAATTCTCTCATCAACTCGATTATAATACAGTTCACAAACCTCCAAAACATGCACTTTCCAACCAATCGAAGAGAAAATGCCGCAATGATTTGATCTTTCATCGGCTCGGGCCGGTAGCCCTGCCGGAGCCGAGCCCAAACCGCTTCGCCCCCGGAAAATACACGGAGAAGCCAACGGAGAAAAGGCGGTCGAGGTTTGGCAGCTTGTTAATGAAGAATAGATTGGGGACGTTGAATATGAAAATTTTAAATCCGGCTGAAGTGATTAGTTTAATTTAGTAAGACAAGCGGAGATAAGTTTAATTGGGGGGGTGTGACGTGTGGGTGACCGTTGGAATGTAGTTCTTGGTGATAGAATGATTTGTGGGCTCCAAAAGCTTTGTACGGTGTCTTTTGTGTTGGCTTCATTTCTACGATCGCAAATTGCCCTTAATCATTGTTAAACTAATTGAACATAATTATGGCATTACTCGTGGATTATTGATTTGTATCAGCACAAGGAGCCTTTAGGAGCTCTTTTGTTTCCAGTAGAAGAGCTTTTTGTCTTGACATTCAAGCCTTTGCCCTTTGGATTATGACGATAGTCATGCATCCAAACCGCAGCATTTGATTAGATTCCTACAATCTACATTCCTCTTGAAATGGGAAGTTTAAGGGTTTGACCATTAGCTTAATGGGGTCTTGGCCCTGGGCGGCACGGGCGGGATGGTGGGACGCACGTGCATATCTTGTCTGGTGTGGCAATGAGGCAGTTTCATCAGTAGCTTTTGAGGAACATTTAATGATACTTGACAGGAACACAGAAGGGGGTTGAAAGAAAATGGAGGGAGTAATAGTTATGTTGGATAAGCACAATGACATGTTTCCCCTGTGGTTAACACATCCGTTTGAGAGAGATCCTTGTCTAGTACTAAGTGTTGGTTAGCTAAACTTGATCTTTCACCTCTCGATGATTACATTGTTTGGTTGGTGACCGAGTCTCGAGCTTAACTTTTATGTTGAGCAAGTGAGTTGAAGTTCGATATGCCGATGAATATAATATGCGGCTGGTCAAGATAGTTACCAATCAAATGACATAGTCTTATACCGCTGACCAGGCATTACTGATTTTATCCAGGTTAAGAATCTCAAAGGTAGAGTCACATTTCGTTGAGAATCCCAATACGAACTTGGAAACGGTACACAGTGAGTGAGGAGACCTAATTATTTCCTCCATTTAGTATGGTTGATAGTGTTAAGGCATCTTTAGGAAAGAATCTTCGGTCTCATGGGATTGGCTTAATGGTAAAGAAGCGAAAAGTAGTGAAGGATCATGACTCGCTCTCTACTTTTGAAGAGAGAGAAGAGAGAGAGAGAGAGAGAGAATCCTTGCAATATTGCGAGTGGCAGGAGTTCAGTTATGGTGAGTGTAGTTAACTAATGCGCGCCATCTTGCTGAACTCGTCTTCCACATTGATTTTGACTGCAAATTAATATATCTGCAGTGTATAGCTCGGTAATTTTTTGGTGCCAGGTCTTTATACTTCCTGAGAAGATCATAAAAGCCATTGAAAGCGAGTTTTCTTTAGAAAGGTTCACTTAGTAACAGTCATGGAGCTAAGGTTGTCTGGAAGCATGTTTCTTTACCTAAATATGAGGGAGGCTCGGGACTGAGAATCTTTGGCTGGGAACTCCACTTGTATATTGAGGAAACTTTGGAATGTATTGCTTCAATCTAGATCATTGTGGGTGGCTTGGATGCATTGTTGTCTGTTGAGAGGAAACAGTATTCGGCAGGTGGAAGCAAAACAGCGGTAGTTATGATTGGAGGAATGGAGAATCTACATTTAAATACATTGTGGGGGATGGTGAATCTAAATTTTTGTGGTTAGATAACTAGCATCCTATGGGAGGTTTTACTGGAAAGATATTATTCTAGGATCAGTTGTGATTCTAACACCAATAAGAATGCCAAGGTCTCTGCAGTTATTGATGGCAATGAGTGGTGTTGGCCCTCTCCGCTAATCATTTGCTTGCTGTTCAGGTGGTTCTATGGGGTGAGTTCTTTCCTAGAGATGTCGAGGAGGATGAGGTAAGATTTCTTGTATCTTAGTATGGGAAGTTCAATAAGAAAGAAGCACGGGAGTTGCTCAGACCTCAGGATGTCAAGGTTCAATGGCATAAGCTTATTCGGTTTAGGCCCAACATTCTAAAGCATGGCTTCATTATTTGGCTTGTTATACTAAATAAGTTGCAGACTCAAGACAGAAGAGAGATGCGCTGTCCTGTCGATGAGATATGCGACTCGTGTGATTAGGAAGCCGAACCACAAGAGCATCGGTTCTTTAAACGTTCTTTCCCAAGGCAGATATGGGGAGAGAGTTCTCTCAGCCCAGTCAATTCTCACAGACAAGCTGAAGGGTGGAATCTTGATTTTTCCAGGGCTCT